GTTTATTCTTTTTCATGTTATGTTTATCATTTTCTTATATAACATGTAGAATTTAACACAGATCTACATTTAATACTTCTTAATGATTGCGCTAATTAGATTAGATGTGAAATGTAGATCATATTATTTAATTTGAATACATATTATTTTTAATTACTTTTATTTTTATTCATTCATTTTCTTTTATTATTTTTAATTCGTATTAATTATCTTTTATTATTATTTATATTTTATATATATTCATTAAGTACAGCATAATTTGGAGATGCGTCACCTTTAAGATTAATAATTTAAAACCAATTAATTTCTATTAATTTATTTGTAATCTGTTTAACGTTAATTATGTATTTAAATATCTCTGTTCTGTACTATAGCTCTTTAGATCTTTTTCACTATTTAATAAATAAAGAAATAAGCTTTATTAAAATTAAAACTGAAAAACTGTCTCAATTGATATAATTTATTTATAACAATTAATAAATTTATCTTATTACTTTTCAGGTAAGAAAGTATTCTTACAAGTGTACTTTGTAAATTGAAAATATTAAGAGGTATAAGTGATTCAATTTTGATTTTTTTGAATAATTTTTCAGTTTTAGATATGCATTAATTAGTTTCTTTTTCTTTAATTATAAAATATAGTGATGCTTTAAGTAATTTATAGTTTCCTGGAAACTATAAACTACTTAGATTATACTATAATATACTTAGGTATGTGTCGTGATTCAATTTTTAGGCCACACTTGAAGGTGTCGTATTTTGCTTTTTACGTCACACACCTGAGGTATTTATAATCGACTCATTAGGGGGTCATATAGATTACAGTTGTATCGTCATTTGAGAACCACTAAGGCATGCACTAGTGCGATGTGTGTTTTGCATTTTAGACCACGCTCAAGTGACGTACATTTTGCTTTTTATGACACACACCAAGGTGGCGTATTCCATACATTTGACCACATGGAAAGGTCTGATGTGAGGGCTATGCCCGAACCTGGCACATAGTGCCGTAGTTAACGTGGCTGATTTCATAATGTTGACCACACGTGAGCCGGGTGACAAAAAAAATATATCGACAATGCATTCAGTCGTGTGTCGTCATTTTGCATTTAGTTCACCAAAGATAATACATTTATATATATTGCAATGCATACAATGGCCATATCCATCTTCGATTAAGCAGTGATTCCTACAGCATCCATATTTATCACGCCTATGCTTTATACAATAACTCCCTCCATTCTTAAAATCAAGCGGTTTATTACATTCTTGGCAATTGTCAATATTTCTGTTAAATTTTGCACTATTTCTCATTTTGTATATTGCATAGAATATTCAATGGAAAAATTAATTACGCAATTGCTACCTGGCCATGCTATATATATGTTATCAGGTCAAGCTATCAATTTATTTTGGCTCTAGGGAATCCGTCTTGATTCTGATATATATCTCATAATGTTATCAGAAATGTTATCAAAATGATTTCACCTATGTTTGAGACATGTTATAATAAAGTATACTGGTTTTGGTTGCTAAAATTTTGACACCAGAATTATATTCTGAGAACATACCATAGAAATGGGTAGGCATCTCCCATAATTCTTATAATATATTACCGAAGTTACCTACCCGAACACATACTGAATACACGTCATAAAAAAGTGAAGGCTTCTTCCATAATTTTTATAATATATTACTGAAGTTACCTTCACCTTACCTACTCGAACACATACTGGATACACGTCATAAAAAAGTGAAGGCTTCTTCCATAATTCTTATAATATATTACTGAAGATTACTTCACCTTTACTATACCCGAAAACATATTAGATACATGCCATAAAAAAGTGAGGTATTCTTTCATTTTTATTATATAATATTACTGAAGATTACTTCGCTTGGACCTACCTGAAAACATGCCATCAAATGGGTATATAACTTCATTTTTCCTTATATAATATTTCTGAACTTATACACCCTGAAAACATGTCATCGAAAAGTGAAGTATTCTTCCATTTTTATTATATAATAATTCTGAAGATTACTTCATCTCACTACACATATATTATATCTGAAAACATGTCATCAAAAAGTGAAGTGTTCTGCCATTTTATATATAATATATTCTGCAGATTACTTCACCCGACCCATAAAATTACTTGACTATTGACCACGCGATCCTTCAAGTTTATTTCACTAAAACTTGATAGATTTTTTTTTGATGTCATCTACTACCCACTGAAAAAATTAATTTAAACTTTTCCAAACTATTTTGTAATAATATAATTGAACAAAGATTGATACATACCAATACAAAAAATGACAGCACGCGATGCGCAATTGATCAGGTATGGGGACGGGGAAACCTTAGCCAGGATTCCAACTCGCAGTGATATTATTTCAGAATGTGATAATGGATTAACTGCCATACTTCAACAAAGCTTGTTCAATAAACAACCCATGTACTTTATGCCTAACGATATAGGTGATACCACTGAGTATATAAAAAATGTATCGATGTATATTCTACGTATTCACGGCACTTTGATTAATAGGCAAAAGACTAGAGTAGACATTACAGGTATCAAACTCTTCTTTGATGTCGTTGTGCTTGATAACGAACCTTTATCTATATTCAAACTAAAATTAGTAAAAATTATTTCAGGAGCAGAAAAGATTGATAAATCAAAGTTTGGAATAAAAGTCATCCATGTGTATCCAATTCGTGATTACCATACCGAGAATAAGGCATACATTCGTATCATTACATGAAACCATCATGATAAAAGATGAATTCTGAGAGAGGTCCATAAGCACAAAATAGAGACTGTTTCAGATAATGATACCAGTATTCATTATTATCAAAAAATAGCCCGTGAAGAAAGACTATCCCTCTCTAAGTGGACTGTATTAAGCAATTATAATTACATATCAAATACAAATTTACCACATTATTATTTTCGTATATCTGTAAATAATTTTCAGTCTTTAGGAGATAATAAGCCAGATGATCAGATAGTATCTTCAGCTCTCATACATGATCGAACCCTTGTGCTCACCTTGGATATAGAAACATATAGTAACCGTAAAATGGGAGATTTACCTAGAGCGAAAAATGATGAGGACCAAGTTTTTATGATTTGCATGACCATACATTGGAAGGATAATCTGGTACCATTAAAGCAGATTTGTCTTGTAGATGCTGAAATTGCACCAGATCCACGTTGGGTCACTGTTGTTTGTGGGACTCAAGAAAACTTATTAAAAGCATTCGCACTTTGTTGGGGAGCAATCATGCCAGATATACATATCGGGTTTAATGATTCGCAGTATGACTGGTCGTTTATTATAGAAAAAGTCAAAAGTTTAGGCATTCTTGAATGGATGTTTAATCATATGTCACCCAACTCATCAAACATTGAAAAAATTCTAAAATAGAACTATCGAAAAAGTGAGATAAAGATAGATGATGAAAAATTTTATTCAAAGTATCTCAAAATCCCAGGGTGTATACCTATTGATATTCGTGTTTGTTTCAAAAAGTTATACCAAAAATCAGAAGCAAGTTCACTGAAATATTATTTGGGAAAATGTGGATTGGATAGCAAGGCGGATATGCCAATAACTACTATGAACAAAATATATGAAAATACAATATTTCACCCCTCTGATACATCAGCTAAAAATATGTGTGAAGTTGCAAATTATTGTGTTATAGATGCATTGCGATGCCAAGAGCTTATGGTTAAGCATAATGTAATCAATAACTATAGGGAAGTATCATCTATTGCATATGTGTCCCTCTCTGATTCTCATTATTTTGTGGAGGGTATGAAAGTATGTAATCTTTTGGGAGCTAAAGCTTGGAGCAGTAATATATTGTGTAGTATGATTGCTTCAGAAAATACAGAATCTGATAAGTATCCAGGAGCTTATATTATTACACTCATAAAGGGTCTCAAAAACAAACATCCAATAACAGGTTTAGATTTTGTCTCCCTATACCCAAGTCTTATGATGACTTACAACCTTCACCAGATAAGATTATACTATCTCATGAAGATACGATAAATGCATTACATAGTGGAAAGAAACTTCACAAGATTGAGTTTTCATTTAATGATCAAACTATAGAAGCTTGGTCTATTCGTCACAATAATATACCTGAAGAAAAGGGTTTATATGCCAGGATGTTAGAAAACCTATTTAATAAATGAAAGGAGATGAAAAAATGCCTTAATGAGTTGGATGAGAAAAGTTTTGAATATAGTTGCTTAGACTCAAAACAAAAGGCAGTAAAATTATATATGAATACATTTTATGATGAAGCAGGTAATAATCTCTCTCCATTCTATCAACTTCAGTTAGCGGGTGAAGTTACTTCTGCTGGACAGCGTAATATTAAATTTGTTAGAAAATTTGTTGAGAATAAAGAGTTCAACGTCAAATATGGAGATACTGATTCTTTATACCTCACATGCCCAGGAGAGTGTTTTCAGGAATGAGATCAAAAATATAAATTGGATCAACTTTCACGAGAAGAGTACTGGGGAGAAATGGTAAAAATCTCTATGGGAGTAATGAAGAACCTCCGTAATAATGTAAATACTGAGCTGGAAAAGAACAATGGAACACCTTACCTCAATATGGCATACGAGGAGATCTTATTTCTCATGGTATTTACAGGAAAGAAAAAATATTATGGTCTGGAGCATAAAGATAAGTCAAACTTTAATCCAGGTAAACTTTTCATTAGAGGGGTGGATATTGTGAAAAGAGATCAATCTAAGCTCTTCCGTAATGTAGGTGAGGAGATTATGGATAGAACTTTGAAAGTCGATAATGAGGAAATGATACATCAGATTGTTGAAAAAGTTCTTTGGGAAAATGTAGAAAAACTTTCCAAGTTAGATTATGATGAATTTATTCAGACATGTATATGGAGACCTAAAAAGGAGGGTAAGCAGGGAAATATTTCTGTAAAACAGTTTGTTTCACAGATGGAGACTAGATATAGTCGCGAGGTATTGAAAAATCAACAGCTTCTAAAGAAGGGTTTATCCGTCAATGAGTATTTATATAAAGTTCCTAAACCCAGTGAATGATTTAGTTACATTGTAGTAGTACCCGAAAAGATTTATGATAATTGCGGAAAAAAAATATTACAGAAAAAAGGAAACTGTATGAAATATCCAGATGTGGTAAAAAGGTTTAACAAGAAAATAAATATTGATTATTATACTGAGAATTTATTTGCTCTTTGTGTCTGTTTTATAAATTATGATAATAAATACCAACTATCACTCGAATCTCTGGAAAAGTCTTGGATCGTAAAAAGAAATCAAAGGAGAAGAAATCGAAAAATGTTAAGAATTTATTGCAAAGCAATGACTCTCTGAGTCTAAATGAAGATGAAATAGCAAATATCAAAGATGTAGAGTCACAGAAATTGGCTAAAAAATGGCTTAAAAATTATATCAAGAACTTATGTAATGCTCCGAAAAAAGATGAAATCATTATCTCCCATTTATGGAAAGATGCTACTACCCACGCTCAAAAAATATGTCCCAGTATTAGCAAAGCTGGCATAACCAGACCTTCAGGCACCTCTATGAGGCATAATGACTATCTTAATGTGTTAGATAAAATTGCAGATTCTATTCATTTAAAGTTATCAGATCTACTTTCAAAATTATCTAAGCTCAATGTAGAATATAGAAATGGGTTATACGGGTTAATTATGCAGGTACAGAAATGTAAATCCGATATTACAATTTTGGAACAATATATATTTTGATATAATCTGGAATCAGAGTGTGAAGCATTAATAGATTTCCGGAATACATGGTACAAGGTAATCGGCCTTGAGATCACACGTCTTCAAGCACTATCTATCATACAAAATAGTAAAAAAAATGATCTATCAGAAGCAGATATTGATGAGATCGTCAACTTATATTGTTAAGTATTTTTAGCTAAGATCATCACAATCTACTAAGATACCTATACATTATTAATAATATTTTTTCATATATAAATAATATTGCAATTCAAATAGATAATACCCGTTATTCAGCCCATGCATCTCGCAACTGATCACTTTTTTTACCAACCCCCCATTCGTGTCTCAATATAACGAACCATATAACTGCAATAATTAACAAGGTAAGAAAGATATATGCGGATAGTGGTGACATTAAAGTACTTGCTATAATGGGAATTGCTTCTATTCCTCCCACCGAAATCTGAGGATATGATTTAATTGGAGATGAGGTATAATTTTTCCGTTGTGCAAGGTATGGGGTCATATTCTCGGATATAAATGATGATATATCTGGTTTTATCAATGTATCTAGCATAATATCTTTATAGTTTCACTAATATTAGATTCATCACTTATCTTGAAAATATTCTCGGTATCATCTTTTGGTAGTTCAGTAATCTTATTATTGGTATATGTCAGAGTATGTGCTTTGGCACTAGCTTCGCTATTATCATCGATTTTTTCGATCTCTTCCATATTTTTTCTGTGTGCTAAATATTTACTGAGATTTTTATTAGATTCACTAACCACAGATATTTCATCAGAATTTGATAGGAAAGTATATTCCTTGCTTTGTGTATTTTTTTTATCATCTCCACCAATCACAGATCTAGATATATCTTTCGATTTCAGACGCTCCAACTCACTAACTTTCAAGACCAGTTCATTTTTCATTTGTTCTACTTCAGCTATTTTAAATTTAAGGAATAATATCTCAGATTCTTTTTTTGATGAATTTTTCTGGATCAAAAACACATCTTTCTGGGCTGAGGCTAATTTACCTCCCAATATCTCTATCATAGACTCGAGCGATCTAATTTTCCTTGATTTTGTAGTAATCTCAACCTTTGAATCTGCAAGATAAAGATCTTTTCGAGCATTTTGCAGTCACTTACCCTCATTAATAACTTGTAAGGCATGGGTGCGTAACTTTTCAATCTCAGCACTATTTCGTGATGAATCCTGATCCCACCTCTTCCTTTCTCGATCAAAATCCTTTACCCACTTTGAGTATTTAGATTGTAATTCTTCATTACAGTCATTTAACTCAGATATAGACTTTAAACTGCAGTGTAAAGATTCTTCAAGTTTCTGTTCTCGTATGCTATCCAGCCTACATTCTTTATTAATATCTCTTAATGTACGCACATTGGTCATATTAAATAATAGGAAATATTATGAAATATAACAAAATATGGACTTATACATAATGAATATTATAGTAGTGTTAATAATTTCTATGATTATAGAATAATATCTAATATTAGGTATTGTTAACTATTAAAAAATATTGTTAGATATCGCTGACTATTGAAAATATATAACATTTAACTACTGAAAGTGTTTATAAAATGGCTAGTTTTAATATCTCTCATTCATATATAACAATAAATATTATTTTACCATCTTGTACTAGCTTTATTAATATTCTTCATTAATATATAATAATAAATATTATTTTTTATTGTTCTAAAATATTGATGGAAAATCAAACTATAAATACCCCATATCTAAAAACTTATTATCATCGAGGTTCTACATTTCTAACTTCTGAACAAATAGAAACAATTAGAACACTCAAAGGCAAGGTACCTAAATATAAAATAATAGGAGATTTCAATATTAATGAGCATAGGGTTGATGATATATGGGAAAATCGTGAACGCAAACAACAGATGATATACTCTCGATCAACTCGAGCACAAAGTACCATTTCTTCTGATATATTACCTAAAAATTCCAACCAAATTGGCACTACCACGCCAGCTTATGCCAAAAGAGAGATTTTATATCTGGAATCTACTACTTTCTCTGATAAAGAAATAAAAAAGAAAAGTTCCAAATCTCAGTCTAAATCTGCTCGCATAACTGATCTAATATCTAGCAGTAGCTCAATATTAGTTAATAATGAAAACCCAACAGAAAAAATAAGTGGGAGCTCTAGGAATGATAATGTTCCTATTGATATAATTGATCAGATTGAACGAGAAAATAAAAGATAAAAACTTAGCTAATAGTGCTCGCATAAAATTTACTATCTAATTTATATTTTCTTTATCTGTAACAGACTCAATAATATTTCCATATTTTGTTTGTAAAATCTCATTACAATCATTAAGTTCGGTAATGGATTTGAATACATTGTATAGACTTTTCTCATACCTCTCACAATTTATGCATTTTTTTTAAAGTCAGATTATCAGAATCTAGAGGCAGAGCCCTATTGCTTTGCAATAAGCTGAAACCCGCAGGAGCACACCACTTATCAAATGGTATATCGTCATTCTTATTACTATCTATTTTCTGAGAAATTTGATCGGATACCAGAAGCTTATCATTCTGAGATGCGGTTGCACAGTTCACTTTGAGCTTGTTTTTGACTTTATACATAGTTACTGAAATTATATACTTTTTATCATTATAGTGAATTTCCATTTTATCATTACCCCAATCTACGGTACATTTATATTTCTTGAGAAGTGGGTTCAGGTATATCAATGTCAGTTTAGGAGGTCATACAACTACAAAATCTTCATGTATAGTAAACCTGGGGGAAATGTTATTGGAAAATTACGAGCAATACCGATAGATTCTGTTGGAATGGTAGCAACACCACTGAGATCATACTTTACCGATTTATCAATTTTCCAACCTACCCATTTAACAATGTCTTTTGATATAATTGGAAGCTCAACCCCACTATCAAGGACCATTGCTGGAATTTTTAAGCGTCTGATTTTAACTGGTATAGTTACAATACTTGTTATCAGTTCTTTCTTTTTAACAAAGTCTATCTCTATAGGATCATCCAATGACTCTTCTTCCTCCTCTGAATCGGGTATTGCTGGAACTGGTTCTCAATAATCATTATAATCAGATTTTTTGGTAGATGGAGGTGTATGACTTGAAGAGTCACCCCTAAAGGGTCTGGATAGGTTTTTAATCTTAGCTTTGAGTTTCTCTATCCAATTCACAGGTGCAATACCATAAAGCATATCTAATACAATCTTTTGGAGAGACTTATCAATAACAGTCAATTTATTTCAGGACTTACCAGAAGCGGGAGTTTCCTTCTGTTTCTTCTTGCATGGTTTGAATTCCTTTTTGACCTTGGGTTCCTTAGGTTTTACTTTTTTTTTTGCTTTAGCAGTATTGATCATTTTCATGATGTCAGTTACAGTTAAATCATTCTCAGAATTAGATTCTGATTCAGAACCAGTCTCAGACTCAGATCCAATGTCAGAGCTACACTACCTGGACAAAAGTCTTGCACACCAAAAAATTTTAATTGTACAAAATTACACATAATAATTATATTTCAAA